AGCCTGCTCAATGCATTTCAAATTCATTCAAGGGTTTAAGAATGCCTATACCTACAATACAAGTATATTATGACTGGCTGTTTCTGGGAAGGGGAGCTAATTAGGAAAACCGACTTGGGAGGAAGATTTTTCATTATACATCCTTTTGTATCTTTTGGAATTTGAACTATATAACTGTATTATCTATTCAAAAAACGAATAAGTCAAAAAGCACTACACTAAAAAATGTGGCAGGATACCAATGCAGAAGGTGAAAAACCACCACGTAAAGATGCTTAAAATAACTAGTCTACTAAATTCAACACATTTGCACACTGTTTCTTTGTATTTGGGGGGTTGAAAAAGGTTCATGACCTCAAAACTATGCTCTTGTTTCATAATTTTCAGAGAAATCTCCAGTTTCAACTTTTTTGCTAGGAAAATACAAAAAGTCAAATAATAATTTCACATTATTCATATTGTAACTTCTGAAATCCCAGTTAAATGACAACAGTTAGTAATATATTCAATGTGGTACTGCCGCGTCTCTTGATTTTTATTATCATCCCCATTTGACAGACAAGAAAACCAAGCTTTCCAAAGCTAACTCGCTTGCCCCAGGCAACACAGCTAGTGAGCTAGCCAGGACTCTTGCAGGCAGCAAAGCCCGTGTACTTCCTCCCATGCGACACCACGGTATAACCTATAAGGAAGACAGTGAACACCAAAATCGAGGACATTATTTCTTAGGAGATCATTCGCATTATAAATACAGTTTAGAGCACTAGTCCATTATAAAACTGGGAATTCAATCTGTATGCTCCTTTACACTATACAAAGCAGATAAAGATGAAAGAGACGAATTATCCCATCCAATAATTTTAAAAGCACACAAACTAGTTTTAACTTGGAATTTTTCAAGTCCTTACAAACTGTCACCCTATAAAATAAAAATGTAAGCTGAATCGTAAGCGTAGAGTTAAAAAAACATCAGAGAATTAGTGTTACAGAAATACGTTACCAATCTAAAGGTTTCAACACCAAGGGGCAAAGAGTTTCTGCTGAACAGCACCTCCAGCCATCAAAGTTTTTGGAATGTTTGATACTGACTGTCCAAACTATGAGCAAAATGCTTTAGAAATTTATGATGAATTGTGAGGCTAGCAACAATGATGCCACTTTCATTATAATCCCATTTTCAAAGAGGTGGTAGCTTTCAAAAACATCTCACTCAAATCTAAACTTACATAATCGTTTAAAGTTAAAACGAGAAGGAAATACGGCGTGGGTAGAAAACATAAACCACCTAACCAGATACGACTACCCCTAGTAGTTATTATTATTATTGCTATTGTTACTAATGTGTGTGTGTCTATTTGCCTAAGTGTTTATTTTGTCCTTATTCAGCGACTTACCTAGGTAACTGTCCAAGCTTGCTTTATGTCCTGCTGTGCAGGCACCCAGAAAGCATCCAAGTCTTTACTTTCTTATCAAGCACATAAGGCACTCAACCTCTACTGAATTCCCCTTATCAGGAAAATGAGTAAAAGTCCTTCAAGCTCAAAAACTTTAGGACCTTCTGAAAATATTTTCAGAAGTACTCTATGGAGAAAACTCAAATGCCTACATGTCAAGGTCTATCCTGCAATTTCACAATTGCAGGAAAAGCCAGGTCACTCTGATATATTTACACAAAACTACATGCTGGTGTTGCTGTCTACAGAAAAATAACATCATTGATACAAATTTCAAAAACCCACCTATTAGGAAAAGAGCAAAGGAGATGAAACTTTCCTTTCAGTTTGTTACAGTGCTGCAAGTGAAGAGACTTTTAAAATGCTAAGAAATAATGGCAGTGTTACTTATAAGTCAGTCAAATATTACCATGCATATAATAAGCATTCTTATAAGGCAAACACACAAAACAAGTGATTAATGAATACCTAATTTTTGAGCTTTCAAAAATTACATATTAAAAAGATGAGCTACGTAATTACTATGTTTACACAATTTCTGTTTTCAAACTCACCTAAAATTAAAGACCTTAAGGACATGTTTTTTCTTTACTCTTTAAAGCAACCCCCAAAATTCAACTACAGTTTATACTGCACCCCCAAATAAAATTATCTTAAACCTTCCAATTCAGTCCAAACAATTCTATAGAAAATTAAATCAATAACTACCCTTTGGCATGCATATATAATTTACTCTGGTTTTTCCTAAGGAAATGGTAAAAAAAAAATTCCTTTTATGTTTTCCTTATATTTCATAAACCACCTCCTAAAGTTGTGAGAAGGCACACAAATAAAAGTCAATCCATTGTAAGGAAAACAAATGTTATTCAACAAACTCTTTACATTCACCATAATAATCAAGAACAAATACACATTTCTAAAGTCTATACATGATTGTACTTCTTTGTTATTCTACAGATATGGAAATCTAATTTATGGAATGCTTCCCGGAATATTTTCCCAGAACGTGCTTATTACACAAGAATCACTTTTAGTCTGTCTGGAATTTAAGCTTGTGGATGTATCTAGTATTATATGATCTTGTTGCTCTCCAATGCTCCTATGCTGGCAAAACATACAAGTTCACAAAAATCATATTCTTGGAGAGCAGAATTCTTGGAAATTTTACAATACTATCAGACTCCACTTAAAATATGAGAAAAGGATATACAAATGGCCAAAAAGCACATGAAAAGATACTCAATGTCACTAATCACTAGGGAAATGCAAATAAAAATCACAATGAAATACTACTTCATACACATTATGATGGCTATTATCGAAAAGAAAAAAAAAGGAAAAGAAAATAACAAGTGTCTGTGAGAATGTGGAGAAATTGGAAGAAGCCTTGGGCTCTGCTGGTAGGGATGTAAAATGGTACAGCTGCTGTGGAAAACAGTATGGCAGTTCCTCAAAAAATTAAACATATGCTCCAGCAATTCTTCTGGGTATATACCCAAGTGAAAGCAGGGACTCAAAACGATATTTGTACACCCATGTTCTCATAGCAGCGTTATTCACAATCACTGAAAGGTGGAAGGAACTCATGTATCCATTGACAGATGGATAAACAATACATGGCATATATATACATACACACACACACGCACACACGATGGAATATTATTCAGCCTTAAAAAGGAAAGAAATTCTGACACATGCTACAACATGGATGAATCTTGAGGACATTATGCTAAGTGAAATAAGCCAACCACAAAAGAGACAAACATTGTAGGATTCCCCCTATAGGAGATACCTAGAGTAGTCAAATTCAGAGACAGTAGTGGTTGCAAAGAGGTTAGGGGGAGGGGTAATGGGGAGTTAGTGTTTAATGGATACAGAGTTTCAGCTGGGAAAGATGAAAAGTCTTAGAGATGAGTGGTGGTGATGGACATACAACAATGTGAATGTACCTAATGCCATGCTTAATGCACACTTAAAAATAGGTAAAATGGTCAATTTTATGTTATATATATATTACAATTTTTTTAAAATGAGATAAGAAACAACAAAATATTAAAACATGTGCCAAATTCTTCTCACGCATGCTTCTTTCACTACCCACAAAACCAACATCATGGCTCTGAGTGGTCAGTTAAGTTCTAATTTAAATGTTTACCATGGGCCCCAAGAAATTAATATAACAAAGTTTAAATTTGTTCTAACCCTAAGAAAGTTTAAACTGCTTCCTCAGAATAAAATCCGTTGCCAGATATAGATGCTAATAGCTATTACATGTCTATTTCAGATTAAATAAACTACTAAAGAATCCAATATACCTCCCAACTTTGTATTTCAAGTACAGTTACTTTTATCCCTAGCGAGTTTTTCCTTCATTTTTCTTCCAAAGCCTCATAAAGACTATTTTCATTTTTACCAGCAAAAACTTTAGTCAAAATTTTCTCCCCCCAAACTCATACGAGCTCATCTTCATTAACTGTAGATATATCATCTTTACAGTAATAGTATTCATTTCATGTTTACCAATTTCAAGTATAAACATGGAAATCTCATTTATGAATCTTCCTCCCTTAAAAAAAAATGTTCACACGGGAAAAACAGAAGTTTGAAACATCCTAGGCTACATTTTGAGGATCTTTTCTAGTCACACTCCAGTTTTTCTTTTAATACCTTCCTATTTCACAAATTGTTACAGACATAAATGTTCACTAACTAACTAGCAACCAAGTTTTTTGATTTCCTCTGAGCCAGTAAAGTGTATTGTATTGTTCACGTCCCCTTTCTCCTCACTCTTAAGTGTTCAGCAGACAAAATTCTACCTTCAACGGTAGATTCTAATAGCTCCATGCTATAAATGCTATGTTCGGATACATTTCAAACAATGCTTGTTCATAAACATAAAGCAAATAGATAAAAATTAAAAGGAACAAAAAGTACCCACATACTCAAACAAAAGGTAAAAGGTTTAATTTAGAAAAAAAAGTTCTCACATTAATTCCATAAACAATATGATCATTAAATACTTTTTCTATTTGTACTATCTGAAAACAAAAATGCATGTAATCAATTACTGACCATTTTTTCTCAATTTTAAAAAATGAATTATTTCAAACATCATTTTCTATATGTAAGTTAATGGCACCATCTCCTCTACTAGGTCTACCTCCTGTGATTAAATCTGTACAATTTGTAGTTGTCACTGCATACGATGTATACATCTAAATGTCAACATAAGACAATAAGAAAAACACAGACCCAGACCTCATTAGTTTCTGTGGCATTCAGTTTTTCTACTTATCAATGTGAGAGATTCTCTGATAATAAGTTTATTTTCATTTGTCCATGGCTATTTATATTAAATTGAATCCTTTAAAAGGGGGAGTGGGTGTATCACACACCAATAACTTCAACATGTCAGAAACCTCCCATCTCTTCAATTTGCAACACGGAATTTTAACAAATATGGAACTCTACAAAAACGAAAATTATATACAGATACAAAAAGATCAATTGAAAAGGAATCCATCACCTGGTCATGAGCCTTACCTTTTAGCAGCGGCAGAGGTGTTAACTCAATAGGCTTGCCTTGAGACCTAAACTGTGAGGAACTTTGCGACCTCTTCTGTCTGGCTTTTCTGACGGACTTCCGAGAAAATCCGTCTACTTTATCCACTGATGGAGGAGTAGTTGGTGCTGAGGACATATCCCTACTGAAAAGAAAGAAGTATCATCAACACATTCCCGAGGTAGAAGCATACAAGTGAGTTACTCAAATTCTAAAATTCCCATACACTGTTTTTGAAAATGGGAGTATGTTTAAAAGAAAGCAAATAAAATCAATTAAGAGCAGTCACATGTTCAATGGGGAAACAGAAAAACTTGGTGGAAAACACAATATAAGTACTATATAAGCAATACTATAATGCTAATGCATTGTGCTACTCCCACTACGATATGCATTAAAGATGTTCATTTAGGGCTTCCCTGGTGGCGCAGTGGTTGAGAGTCCACTTGCCGATGCAGGGGACACGGGTTCGTGCCCCGGTCTGGGAAGATCCCACATGCCATGGAGCAGCTAGGCCTGTGAGCCATGGCTGCTGAGACTGCGCGTCCGGAGCCTGTGCTCCGCAACGGGAGAGGCCACAACAGTGAGAGGCCCGCGTACCGCAAAACAAACAAACAAAGAAAAAGATGTTCATTTATACTTGAACATGTACTCATTTTATAACTGCACAGCTCTTCTCATCTTGAGATCCAGAAGTAACTGAGGAACTATTCTACAGCTACAAAATTTCCATCCAAACATTTTCCCAAGATAGTTAATATTATGAATGGGCTCTAGAGTTGAAACTCTTATGGTACTTCAAGAATCTACACCACTGTATCACAGCCAGGTGAAATTTACAATTTCTCAACTACCAAGACATGACTTTTAATGCAATGTGCTGTGTTAGCTATGATAAACTACACCACACCACAAAGGAGGACAAGCTAGGTTACTTTAAACAGAACACATAAAAGGCATAATTAAAATCATTTCAAAGAAGTCTTCTTTTTGAATGAAGCCATCTGAAGTTACTAAAGCTTAATAAACAAAACTATGATGAAATGGTACACCAAAGTTGAAATAAAAACAAATTCACAGCCTACTTAGACAACCAAGTTGAGTTCCCTTGAAGTTCATCATCAAATATTAATTTTCATTCTATCAAACTAATGGAACTGAACAGTTATTTGGGATTTTTTTTTAACATTCTCAAATCATTAAAATGAAGGCTATTTCCTAAAAGTAACAAGGATTAAGCTCAGTTTCATTCACCAATTTAAACAGATGCCATCATTTCTATGGCACTGAGGCTCCATGCTCCATGGAAGATTAATGGCAGACTTGAATAGAAATAACGCACATGGGGGAAATGCTGAAATGCAATTACTCACCTGTCATTCCAATACATAACATAAGTGTTTTTTAACCTCTAAAAGAGTTAAGGAGTTTTTTCCTGAACGTGTGAGAATAAAAAGTTACCTGGATTAGCTGGATTCTGACAAAGTAAAAATAATAAAAACATAAACAAAAAACAAACAAAACCATATGATGTTGAGGTTTGGAATTTTGAAGTCCTGTTTGGTACTCTTTTTTAAAAAAGTTTTTAACAATCTAATTTAGCCTTAAATAAAATGTGACAGATAAAAAGGAATTGCAAACCATGAATGATTATAGAAGAAGTAAGATGACTTAAAAATTTATAATAACTGCATCTGCAAGAAGCTCCACATCACATTTGTATGTTGTAAATTTAGGGGCTGCTTTTCCAATCTGGTATGTGAATTATTTAGACTACATTTAACCCTCACAACACAAGATTTCCATAAATCCTGTTCCTCCTCCACTCTTTTTGTCTCTCCTTTATTCTTTATCTCCCATCTCTAAAGATGATTTACTGGTAGCAAAAACAAATTCTGTTTTAATCATTTGCCCGCGGCCCAGGATAAACGTCAAGGATCTCAACCCTAAAGCGCTGCAGAATTGAACGTGCAGTAGCAGCGGGTCCGTACAAAGCCCGGGGAAACAGGTTTCGCCGTGGGCTAGGACGCCCGAAGCTTTATCATCCTCTAAGCATTGGGCACGGGGCATTTCCAAGGCACAGGATAACCCAAAGCGGGTACTGGGGTGGAGGAGAAAGACAGAGAAAAGGTTGGTCTGTAGGGATGCTCACATACTCCGTTTGCTCCCACCCACCCCACCCCACCCCGTGCCACCCCAAGCCCTGGAGAAGATAAGCTGCTACAGAATCCTTCTCACTACACCAATCCCCCTTTCCTCCCCCCCGCCCCCATCTGTGGATAAAGGGGGACAAGAATACGCCTCCAATGCCGGAAGGTGGAGAAAAAGGGGGGTGGAGGGCAGAGTGAATGAAAGGCATCATCAGAAGCATTTGCAGGTGAATCAGACAAGTGGGACCGGCGCTCCCTCTCCCGCACCTCACCCCATCGCACCCCTCGCCGGCCCAGGCCAGGCCTTCCCCAGGTCGGTGCCCCGCAGGTTCCCCAGGAGGTCGGGTAGAAGGCAGGAAAGGAGGAAAGAAAGCAGACGAGCCGCGGTGCTGGAGGGACGAAGTTACCTTGAAGCTTCTGGAGAAGAATCCGAAGATGATCTGTGGTTTCGGAGGGGCGGGAGACGGGAGAGAGGGCCGCAGCGGGGGCGGGTGGCGGGACCGGGGCGTGCGGGGGGAGGTCCGGACAGCGGCAGGGAGCCCGGGGCGACGGCTGTCCGGCGCGGCGTCCCTCCGGTTCCGCGGCAGCGGCGCCTCTAGGCCTCACGGCCGGACCTGAACCTCAGCGCTCCGGCGGCGGCGGCGGCGGCCTCACGATCCTCCCCCGCGGGCCCGTCCCATCAAATCGGCACCGACCCCGCTGCGGCTCCGCCGGTGGCTCCTCGCTCACATTCCCGGCGGGCGGCGCCTCTGCTCGTTGCCCCGGACCCGGCGGCTGCAGCGACGACGAGGGGAGGGGGGAAGGGAGGGAGGAAGACTGGATCCGCAGGGGCAGCAGGAGGAGAAGGAAGGAGAAGAAGGAGCCGCTGGGGCTGGAGCCGCCGCTGCCAGAGCCGCCGTTCAGTGCCCGCGGTGAGTCCCCGTCAATGCCCCTTTCTCTCTCCTATTGTCAATATCACCGGGCAGCTGAGTCCATGGCACACTCGCAACCGAACCTTCTGGCCAGCAGCGCCCGCCTCCAGCGCCCACTCACTGGAGGCTTCAAACGGGAAGCGAGGCTTCATTGGCCGGCGTCCGCCTTCACTCCCTTGTCAGCATGTTCGGCTGAGACCCGATCGGGGATTGGCGGCGGGGGGGCGGAGAAACAGGAGGGTGGGAAGAGAGGAGGCCGAGGATTGGGCTGAGGCGAGAGGGACCCGGATGCAACCGCGATCTCCGGCCGCGCTGCCGCCGCTTCCGCCAGGCGGTGGGGTAGGCTGAAGCGGGGATCCGCTGCCGCCGCCAGGCCTGAGCCGAGCTCCTTAAACCCGGAGGGGTGCGCGTGACATCAGTGCGATGGGTTTCCGCGCTGTGCGGGTCCTCTGGGCGACGGTCGTCTGCAACCTGAGGATTCCAAGGGCAAGGGTCGGCTAAGGGTGGGGGCGTCCCTGGCCCTTGATTCCGCCCCTTTCAGCGGCGAGGCTAGCCCTTCTGGACTCGAGGAATCCCATTCGGACGGGAACCAGCGCCGCATAGAAAGAAAGAAAGGCAGCCTGTGCGCCGCTGCCTTTGTAGATGGGCCCCTCCAAGCCCGGGGCTGTAAAGCCCCCAGCAGTCGCTTTCCGCTCCACCTTGTGGGAGGCCTGGCACGGAAATCTGAACCCCTGGGTCCCGGCCAAGGGTTGGGTATCGCTTCGAATTCTCTCTCGCCTAGTCTCCTTTTCCCTAAACCTCTGTTTTGAATATCAGCTCCCTGGAGCTCCTGCAAGCCTGGTTGGGGCCAGTTCAGTGTAACTTGTGCAGGTGGGAACGCGGTCTCCACGCTCTGTGATCATTTATTGAGATAATCTCTTGGGCCCACCCGCTGTACAGAGCGCAGGGAAACCCAGCTTCAAACTGCGGGAGCTTGGGAGCTCTTCACTGGCAAGTTGGATCCGAAACAATTTATGGAGAAGGCTTCACTTAACTCTAGCTAGAACAAGTGATAAAATATTTAGAGATATGTTTGCATCCTTAGTGAGTCCTAGGCCAAGTGGTGCATTTCCAGAGAATATTCTTGGACTCTTGCTCTATTTGAGTGGATTCTACGTATGTCTTTTGAGAGGGTTTAAAAAAAAAGAAAGGAAGGAAGAAAGAAATTCTTAATGCTTAGTACAAAAAATAACGTTTATAATCCTTCAACCCAGAGATAACCACTGTTAGCATTTTGGTGTACTTCTGTCCAGTATTTTTTTTCTTTAAAATTGTGTATTCCGTTCTGTAGTTTTTCCCCTTCGCATTATATCATGTTTTCTATACAGTTAGGAAATGGAACTATATATAAATAAAACTGTAACATATATACAACTGACAATAACAAAAATATGCATTGTTATTTCTCTTGTTTGTGTTATTTAGCACTCAAGTGTTGCAAACTTCTATGCACATCCCCAGAAATGGGTCTTGAATGGGTCTTTTTTTGTGCCATTAAAATTTTTTTTAATTCCTGTTTTGAACTGAAATGGGAAACAGGAAAAGATGGTGCTCTTATATGGAAGCAGGCTTCCTCTACTGACTCCAGGTGATTGGTCACTGTATAGATAGTGTCTGTGTTTGCTCTGAAAAGTTCACCTTCCCTAGGCCTTACAAAACTGGCTAGAATACCAGTCTCCTTCCCACCTTCAAGAAACTTACATTTCCACATCTCAGTTTCCCATACCAGTCTTCGTGAAAAGTTCAGTGCCCCAGCCATGCAGAACTTGTTTGCTCAATTTCTGATTAAGGGTAAATGCAGAATTCAAACCAAGGAAGATTTTAAAGCCAACTCAATTTCCCTTGGCAACAATTGAATTGTCCAAGAGTAGTGCACGTTTGAAATGCTCACAGCTGTTGCTTAGAACATTTCACATTTTGTAGAGTGGGGATTTTGCTTGCAAATTATGAATCTGTAAAGATGATTCATTTCAAAACTCTTTCACTTTCTGTAAAATGGCTGAGTAACTGAAATGAGTAGGTCTTTTTAAATGGAAACATCCTTGCCTATGTGAGAGATTTTTCCTTGGACCAACAGTTTCTAAAGGAGGTCCATGCAATGCATCCCAGGGGTATGTATATTCCAGGAAGAATGCAAGTCAGTCCATTTGGGATGCAGGAGAAGAAAATATGAGGACATCTATTTATGCTTAGTTCTAATCGAAAAAGAAAAATATTTTATATAATATTTTATATACATAATGAGGGACCCAGCCCATGGAATGGTCTCTTGGCCCATAACATCGTAGGAGATGTCCTCAAGGAAAAGTGGGAGTTACCCATTTCCAGGGGTTGGCAGTGGTGGTCCCACCCAGTCAGTCCTTGTCAACATGTAATGACTTATTGTGGTTTGCTAGGTTAAAGAGGACTTACTGATTATCTAGGTTTAATTAAACTAACCCATAGAAAATGGGCAAGTTAGTTTACCAGAGTCCTTTGCAAAGAAACCACAGGAAAATAAGCAAATGGTGGAATTGACACTTCTCCCAGTATCAGGTTTTTTGACAGCACATTTCAAAATTAACGATCCAATAAATCCAATCAAATTTTGGCTTAAAAAATATCAAATTCATCAAGATTATTTGAATGTGGATTTATATCCACTGTTATTAACAATGAACTTCAGGGCTTCCCTGGTGGCGCAGTGGTTGAGAGTCCGCCTGCCGATGCAGGGGGACACGGGTTCGTGCCCCGGTCTGGGAAGATCCCACATGCCGCGGAGTGGCTAGGCCCGTGAGCCGTGGCCGCTGAGCCTGCGCATCCGGAGCCTGTGCTCCGCAACGGGAGAGGCCACAACAGTGAGAGGCCCGCGTACCGCAAAACAAACAAACAAAAAAACAATGAACTTCATCCTGAGCATATATTATAATTGAGTTATAAGCTAATGATGATATATACTTTACAAATAAATATACATATGTTTGGTTAAGAATTGCTCCCCAAAAATACACTGATCGGAATGAATGATCAAAAAAGTTTGCAGACTGCTACTCCAGATAATACAAAAAGAAATACATTATAGCCATCTGGGAAGCCATTATCAAGTGACAAAACACTGTCCATTGCTATCAGATGAAAGCATTCACTTCCCAGACATCAAGGCTGAGCTTATCATGAACCTACTGGCAGACTGGCCATGTGATGAGACTGGAAGACATAGTAGACTATCAAATGGTAGCTGACTGGTGAACTAAAGAAGGGATAAGATAATAAGCAGCAGTATCATCAAAACAATTATCAACCAGTATAGGAGGAAAAGACCTATGCTGATAAGACGACATCATCAGAGGTAGACTAGCCCAATTTGTGAGTGCGGGTGGAGGGTACATTAAACTGGTTGTGAGCTGAGAGGGAAGAATAATGAAAAAGCCTGAGACAAGAGCTGCTCTCTTAGGAAAAGCAATGAAAGATTACATACACAGCTAGTGTAGACAAGGGACTTTGGTGTTATATTTCTTCGAGCCACATTTATCTACACAGGTAACACCCTCAGCAGTGACATTTTCTTGGGTCGCAATTTAAAGAGTACAGTTGCATTTTCAGATGTGCCTCAAAAGTCATAGGTCATGCATGGCTTTCCATGTGATTAATGTGTATAATTATAGCTTGAGATTTAAAATGTTTAGGCGCTCCAGTTCCATTCCTAGCAGTGAGAGATCCTCGGTCACTAGTGGATCAAGGCAGGAACAGGGACCCCATGTCACTGATGGGGAAGGAAAATGGACCAAAAAAAAAGGGGGGGGGGAGAAAGCCAGCTTCAAGTGCACTTTATTTCACATAGGATAAAACACAAAATAATGCACCACAAGCAATAATTTTCCTGGTAAAATAGTCAACTTATACAATTAAATGAATTAAAGTTATAACTAATTATAAGCATAATGATGAGAACACAGACTCTAGAATTAGATATACCCAAGGTGGAATCCCAGCTCTGAGAGCCAGGAGCTGGGGCAAATTTTTCACTCCTCACAGCCTGGGATTCCTGGCCTCTAAATGAGCAGAATAACACTTCCTAACTCATAGGATGGTCATCAGATTTAAATGAGGTTATGCACTTACTATAGTGCCTGGCACATGTTAACTGCTAAGTAAATACTAGTTATTACCATAATCATCTACTTTCTTCACATTTTAATACTTTTTATCCACTTAGAAATTTTTCTTTAAGTTTTGTCTTTTTTTTTCCCCTCAAAATTATATTCCGGAATACCCCTCTGTGACAGGAAGAAAACAAGGAGCAAGGAAATGAGAGGCATGCCTTTCAATCCACTTCCACACTAAATGATCAAGTGCGTGTAGGAGCGTTCATTAGCAATAACAGGGATTTGCATTTTACAATATCCATATGCTTTTGAAAGTAAAAGAAAAAAATGGTCATTTGACTTAACATCACTTCAAAGCTTTATATTCATTTCTAATTTATACACCTTTAAGAGAGGCTTAAACTATTTTGCTCTAAGCTTACCTATTTCTCTTTCTCACTGCAACCTTCAGAACGGCACTAGGACTGAGTCCTAGCCCCACCTTAATAATGCCCTAGCCTTGGTGTGGTGGATATCTGCTTCCCACGCATCCCCACTTTCCCTTTGAGGACCACACTCCTCACTTCATGTGATCCTGGTGGGACTGTTAACCAAGAGTGATGGGTTATCTCTCTTGGATCCAAGGGGATCGCTTGGATCTTCCACAAAATTTGCTCTGTGAAAGCTGGGAGAGAGATGCCTCTCTTCCTTTTGGATAATAAACCATAGAAATGATGTAAGCTGGAGCTACTTATGATCATCTCCCTCCCTCTCCTCCATCCCGGAGGAAGCCAATACTCTGGGAAAAACGTTGGCAAATGCTGAGTTTTAAGAACATGATTGGAGCTGCTGGATTCAGCTATGTTGGAAGCTAGTTTCTGTTGTGTGACCCAGTGAATTCCGTTTTTTGTTTAAGCCACTTTGGAGTCGAATGTCTATAACCTACACCAAAAAATATCCTGACTAATAAGGCATGGCCAAGTCACTAAACCTCTCCAAACCTCAGTTTACTCTTAGGCCCTGAATCTGGGGTTTTCTACTGGTTGAACTAAATGAAATCTTTAGGTGAAATCTAATCCTAAGCA